GCCATGCCATACAGCCATCACTGGATTGTATGTGTGTGTGGATGGAAATAGACTTCAGGACGTCAACAGTATAGAGATGTAACAAAGGCTGAAAACATTTGTATGGAAACAAGAAAATGTCAATTTATGATATACTGAGAGGAATTTACTAAGACTAGAGCAGACAGAGTCTGGAGCAGCTGTGAATGGCAATAAGCTTCTAACTTCAGCTTGTTCAATTAAGTGTTGAAAATGAAAGTTGGAAGCTGACTGGCTTCCATGCACAGCTGCTCCAAATTCTGTGTGCTCCAGTCTTAGTAAATCCCCCTCATTGTTTTTTTGCAAACGATCACTAAGATTTACAGTATCTCACAGAAGTGAGTACACCCCTCACATTTTTGTAAATATTTTATTCTATCTTTTCATGTGACAACACTGAAGAAATTACACTTTGTTACAATGTAAAGTAGTGAGTGTACAGCTTGTATAACAGTGTAAATTTGCTGTCCCCTTCAAAATAACTCCCCCGTGTCATGTGACTCATTAGTGTTACAAGGTCTCAGGTGTGAATGGGGAGCAGGTGTGTTAAATTTGGTGTTATCACTCTCACTCTCTCATACTGGTCACTGGAAGTTAAACATGGCACCTCATGGCAAAGAACTCTGAGGATCTAAAAAAAGAATTGTTGCTCTACATACAGATGATCTAGGCTATAAGAAGATTGCCAAGACCCTGAAATGAGCTGCAGCACAGTTGCCAAGACCAAACAGCGGTTTAACAGGACAGGTTCCACTCAGAACAGGCCTCACCATGATCGACCAAAGAAGTTGAGTGCACGTTCTCAGCGTCATATCCAGAGGTTGTCTTTGGGAAATAGACGTATGAGTCCTGCCAGTATTGCTGCAGAGATGAAGGGGTGGGGGGGTCAGCCTGTCAGTGCTCTGACCATATGCCACACACTGCACTAAATTGGTCTGCATGACTGTTGTCCCAGAAGGAAGCCTCTTCTAAAGATGATGCACAAGAAAGCCCACAAACAGTTTGCTGAAGACAAGCAGACTAAGGACATGGATTACTGGAACCATGTCCAGTGGTCTGATGAGACCAAGATAAACTTATTTGGTTCAGATGGTGTCAAGCATGTGCGGTGGCAACCAGGTGAGGAGTACAAAGACAAGTGTGTCTTGCCTACAGTCAGGCATGGTGGTGGGAGTGTCATGGTCTGGGGCTGCATGAATGCTGCTGGAACTGGGGAGCTACAGTTCATTGAGGGAACCATGAATGCCAACATGCACTGTGACATACTGAAGCAGATCATGATCCCCTCCCTTTGGAAACTGGGACCCAGGGCAGTATTCCAACATGATAAAGACCCCAAACACACCTCCAAGACTACCATTACCTTGCTAAAGAAGCTGAGGGTAAAGGTGATGGACTAGCTAAGCATTTTTCCAGACCTGAAACCTATTGAGCATCTGTGGGGCATTCTCAAATGGAAGGTGGAGGAGCACAAGGTCTCTAACATCCACCAGCTCTGTGATGTCATCATGGAGGAGTGGAAGAGGACTCCAGTGGGAACCTGTGAAGCTCTGGTGAACTCCATGCCCAAGAGGGTTAAGGCAGTGCTGGAAAGTAATGGTGGCCACACAAAATATTGACACTTTGGGCCCAATTTGGACATTTTCACTTAAGGGTGTACCCACTTTTGTTGCCAACGGTTTAGACATTAATGGCTGTGTGTTGAGTTATTTTGAGGGGACAGCAAATTTACACTGTTATACAAGCTGTACATTCACTACTTTACATTGTAGCAAAGTGTCATTTCTTCAGTGTTGTCACATGTAAAGATACAGTATAATAAAATATTTACAAAAATGTGAGGGGTGTACTCACTTCTGTGAGATACTGTAAATCTTAGTGATAGTTTGCAAAAGAACAATGAGGGGGATTTACTAAGACTGGAGCACACAGAATTTGGAGCAGCTGTGCATGGAAGCCAGTCAGCTTCCAACTTTCATTTTCAACACTTAATTGAACAAGCTGAAGATATAAGCTGATTGCCATTCACAGCTGCTCAAGACTCTGTTTGCTCCAGTTTTAGTACAAATGTTTTCAGCCTTTGTTACATCTCTATACTGTTGATGTCCTGCAGCCTATTTCCATCCACACACACATACAATCCAGTGATGGCTGTATGACATGGCAGGTTTCTGGATGGTGGCAAAAGAGGACCATACGTGCATGATGTGTGTAACAACAGCTATTTGTAGCTTTCATGGGAAGCCCATGTAACATAGGACTATAATCGAGAGACAGTGACTGAGATACTGCAAATGTACTTTTTTCTCTTCTCCCTCATTACCCCCAGCAGATAGTCATTTAAATAGGTATAGTTTTCTTTCTGCCACTTTCTTTCCTATATTCTATACTTACCACAATTGATCATATAATTTAGAAAACTTTTTGGGCATCAACCTAACCACAATGGCCTAGTTTATTCTCCCAAATATCTCCAAATCCATTCATATTTTTTGTCTTAAACTCCCTGGCGGTATTCCCGAGTGCAGCTCGGGTAAAGTTTCATTACCAAAAGCAGTAACTCCAAGCTACACTCGGGAATACCATGCAGCATTGCTCCAGGATCTCTTCTTCACTTACCTTGTCCTTCGCTCCTGCGATTTCCCTCCTGCAGTGTCCCCGGCAATGTCCTGTGGCGGATGCTGGCATCTGTCTTCTGGGTTCCGTTCCCTGCAACGTCGGGACGTACGGGGGACGGAATGGCAGGAAATTCAAAAATGTGAAAAAGTGACATTCACTAAATACACTAAAATCACATAGTAAAACATTACTGTATCAAATCATTTCACATACATTTTGTCCCTAGTGCTTTGTCCTGTGCCCTGCCTGCATTTTTACTGTTCTTTCTGCCTAGAAACTGAGAAATGTCCATGGCGTCCAAAAAGTGTCCCTTTATGTCAAAAGCGGTTTTTGAGAACAGCGACAGTAAATTAGAACCACTTGCAGAATTGAGTGATAATGATTTGTGGGGAAATTCGTCATCAGACACTAAAAAAAACGATTTTGCGACTTGCTTAGTGATGTGCGAACTTGGCGCTATATTTCAAATTTCAGTGTTTTTGGTTTGATTATATTATTGAATTAAATGTATTATTATATTATTATTTTTTTATGATTATTTATTAAATTATAATTTATGATTTTGTGTTTAAAATTTTAACATACCCGGGATGTTTTCTAGACTCTTGTTCGGACAGATTTCAGTGCGTTATTCCTAAAAATTACAGGCCTACAATAAAAAAAAACTACATATTTCCATGCAAAAAAATTTACTGCTTTGAGCACAGAAATATGGACATAATCAGACCGCTAGGGAGTTTAAAGAATATCCAAACCAAAATATGATATATTGCAGCTTTCCAGTTGTTAAGTATGTTCTCTGCAAGTACAGAAAAATACCTGTTGATCTTGCCAGAATTTTAATGTTCTTGTAACTTCCTGAGCACTGAACTGATATCAGTAGTAACAGTTTTTCCAACTATCTTCTTTGAAATACAGAAGAATACCTCCCTATGTAATGGAGGTGAGGGGAGAAATAGGGGTTTGCAGTGCAAATCACAAATCACAAAAGCAGCCTAGCGTCACAATGCTGCTCTTCCATAGATATAGCATTGCCGCTTTACCCCAGGAAGTATATCACCGGCAGATTCACCAGGCAAAATACATTTGAAAAAGTCTGAAAAAAAGAACAGTAATGCAGGCACAATAACTTTTTACTTGTAAGCTGTATTAAACTAAATTTTTAGTTTTGGGTTCCAATCTGCTTTATTTCCTTAATTTCTGAACAACCAGTAATCCGATTTAAACGTGCACAGTGGCTAAATGGTTAGCACTTCTGCCTGGCAGTACTAGGGTAGTTGATTTGAATTCCAACCACGGCACCACCTGCCTGGAGTTTGCATGTTCTCCCTGTGCCTGTGTGGGTTTCCTCCAGGTACTCCGATTTTCTCCCACACTCCAAAATCATGCAGGTAGGTTAATTGGCTCCTGTCTAAATTGGCCCAAGTATGTGTATGTATGAATGTCAGTTAGGTACCTTGCATTGTAATCCCCTTGAGGGTAAGGGACTGATGTGAATGTACAATATAAATATATAGCGCTGTCAATTTGTGCACACTTTACAAGTACCAGAAATAAATAATAGTTGATAAACAGAACCCTTAGGACACACTATCATGGGTGCAGGAATTGTGGTAAAAAAACTCAAAACCATTGTTACTGAAAATGATTATTACAAAAGGTCAGTAATGGTCCTTATTACCTATATGTCTCATTACCTGCAATCTAAATATGACATTAGGTTAATTAGATGCACCAAGAGATGCCAACACCAAGACCAACAATGGCAGGACTAAAGCTGGGTCTATATTACGTTAATTATGTATCTTTTGACTTTGACAAAAAAAATGTTTGCTTTTATGTCCTTCATCAAATATCTTCACATCCAAAATCAATCATGATAGCAAGCCCATTGTTTTTAGTTGCATTTTCATCTTTACTAATAGCTGGTTTTCTGCCTTGTGTTACATTTTTAAATGCCACCCAGTACACACAAAATGGGTTCAGGACACTAGAATGGTAGTTGGGAGGTGTAAATTATCTAAAAATAAATTAACTTTTATATCTTTGTGCAAGCATTTACTTTTCTTATGTACTGTGCAACATTCTGATCTTCACAAAAAAGCAATATCTTTATTTACAGGCGCTTCAAAATGGCAATACATAAAATCTGACATTATATACAGGCATTCAATGTAATGGCTGTACAAAGCTATTTACAAAAAGTATGGCACAGGTCAACGCAAACATGTCAATGTGGCAGTATTTGTGGGTGTGACTTGTTTGTCATGGCAAATACGGTATTAGTTAATGTTTTTGTTTTTTGGGGGGTTTTTTAACCAAATTCAACACATGCACAGATTAAAGTGTTAAGTTTCTTTTTTTTAAACCATGTCTTTCTGGATCCCATTGTTATTTGACATCTTCTCCAAATCCTCCATGATTAAATCCTGGTCACTTGTTAGTGGTTTTCGTTTGTCAGATTCTTTATCATCACTGCTCTGCTTTTCAAAAGCTGACCCTTGACGCCCAGCATTTTGAGATGTGGCTGGTAAAATTGCATTGCCTTGTGCCCGATGTGAGTACATGGTTCTCCTTTCCAACTCTTCTGAGCATAGCTGAAGTTTGAAGGCAGCTTGGAACCCACGGCGGAAGTTCTCATTAAAGAAACCATAAATGATGGGGTTGATGCTGCTATTAAAAAATGCCAACCAGTGTGCAAAAGGGTAAATGTAAATATTGATAATTTGGTACTGGTGCTCGCTCAAGTTGGCGTAGTCTGACAGCATCATCAGTGTCCACAAAGGTAGCCAAGATAAAATAAACAGTAAAGCAATAATAATCAGCATTTTAATAACTTTTTGCTTTCTTCGGGAAACAGCATGCCTTTGCTGTTGGTGATTCTTACTATCAACATTCAGTTCACTCTTGAATAAAGTATGCCTATTCTGGCATACATAATAACAATAAGGGAGAGAGGAGCAAGGTAGATGTTGGAAAACAGTACCGTGGTATATATCTTTCTCATGTGTGGGTTAGGCCAATCCTCGCGGCACCAATAAATGGGAGTAGTTTGATTGCTGTTGCCTAGAACAACTCGAAAGTGTTTGTCTTCTTTCACATGTGACATAACTGCGGATGGACACATAATAGCAATGGCCAAAACCCATATGACTGCAATAATGACAACAGCAGTAGAGATGGTCAGCTTTTGCTTGAAGGGATAAACGATGCAACGAAACCTGCAATGACAAAAATCAAAGTAGAAAGGCATTGCAAAGTTAGTCTATTCCAAATGAAATGTAAGCATTTTACTTGCTGGAGGTAATTAGGTTAATTAAACTGAACAGCTTAAAAACACTTCATTTTGTTACACAAAGTATATTTATATCATCATAATTATTTATCCCTCAGGGTACTCTCAAACTTAGTTTTTTAAAAAAAAGCTGAGACAGCTCTTGAAGAAAAAAGAGAAAGCATCTTGCAGACTGAGAAGTTCTACAAGCAAGTTCAAAATCAATCAACTAAGAATCCATATCCAGCTATTTACGAAGGCTACAAGGGATGGATGTTCTCTTTTACTAGCAAAACGGAGATAGCAAAGCATTGTGTATAAAGCACCTGGCTCACACACACACACCTATCCTTCAGTGATTCCTTTCCTTCACCACGTGACCACACAGATTTAGCATTTTCTATTTACAAAAACAAAGCTTACAAAACCTGATGTCTGCTTTGTTTTTATTAGGTCTTGTTAATGGGGCTATGTTTATTGTCAGGTATGTTTAATAAAAAAAAATATCTGTGATAGAAACTTTTAAAACGTAATAACTACCCTAAAAACGAAGTGTAAGCTGAACTCAAAGTAGATACAATAATAACAAATGATCAGAGCTCTGTATTCATGAATATGTATTGTCCCATTAGGCTATTAGGGGTTAAATTTAGTTTTTGTGTTCCCTGTCCTCAGGGAGAGCAACAAATGTTTAGTTAAGTCTGCTCTCGGCTCTACTAGTGTGGACTTCTCCTGTATCCCAGTGAACTGGGACATAGTGGGTGGAAGAACACAGATCTCATACTGCATTTTGACACAGTAATTCTCCAGCCAATACCTGGTCAGGGTTGTAAGTAAGCAACAGGGTCCGGGGAAGGTATAAATAGGCTGGAATCCAGAGCAAAGGTCTCTTGTTCCTGGGGGAGTAACACCCAGCCTGAGAGCTGTGGCATCCCTGGAAAATCCAACTGCAACTGCAAGAATCTTTTATGGGGTCCCAGCTACTGTTTGGGTGGGGATCTTCTGTGCTATTCTCCTGAATCATTTGCACAAAGTTTCCTAAGGATCCAGGAGACAGGCATTTGGAGCACAGAAACTGACTGATACTGCAGGTGTACACAGTATTCAGGATATATTGAGTATCAGCCTTCTGGACTTAGAGGCCTTGTTTGGGAGATTTACTTTACTACCAGTACACTCAGGGCTGTATTCCTATTGAGGAGTTCCTGTTTAGTACCTGTTTATCTACACTTCAAAAGGAGGTGCCTTCATCCTGAAGTACTAGTTCAGCGTTAGTGTCCTCTACTACCAGTTTGAAGTTTATTGGACTATCCCTAGGCTCACCCTCACCCTATCCAAGTTCTATAACCAAAAATAAGAACAAAAAAAAAAAGACATGCACAGTCTGTTCTCTGACTCAAATGATTGGGAAATACTGTGTGCATGGCTGCCATGTGCCTATCACGGAATGGAACCTGAGATCAATCAGCCAGATCAGTCCTGGTTCTACGCTACGTGTGGGGCTCTTTCCTGGATTCCCGCCCAGCACAGGCAGCCGTTGCTAAGGGAGATGGCCAAAGTTTGTGTACAGTTAATGCAGCCAGTGACATGTGCAGTACAGCAAATGCAACCAGTGACATGTGCACTACAGTGAATACAGCCAGTGATATGTGCAACTTCAGAGGGGGTGAGCCAGTGGAGAACATCTGCCTTTTTTCAGGAGTTGATTGCAGTGGAATATGCCTTTATTCAGCAACTGTTTGGGGTCTGGAAGAGGAAGGATTAGGTGTTGGCTTGGGAGAAGTTGTTCCAGGAGGCCCTGGAATGGGGGGCGAAGTGATGGACTGTGTGTCGGAGGAGTAGCAAGATGTCAAGATATGTACAGTTCTGCAGGCAAGGCTGCGAGTCTTGTGGCGAGTGAAGAGCAGAGAGGAGACTGAGTCGGGTGGCTGGAGAGGAACATCGCTTGAACAACACCGGTGTGAGGCTGGTGCCAAGAGGCAAGCTAGCTCTCGTTCCCGCCCAGGGGAACGAACATCCATGTGTGGTATGTGAGCAGCTGAGCATGGGGATCCAAGTCGGTGCGGGCTCTGTGAAGAGACATTGTCCCAGCTGATAAGAGAAAACCAGCCGCCTGCAAAGTGGGACACAGGATTCTGCCGCAAGAAGGTTGACTTGGAGAGGCTGATACTTAAAGTAAGTGAGGCTACCAACAGCACATCCCCTGTTAGGCAGACTTTGTAGCAAATGTTTCTGAGAATAGGGACACATGCTAGGGGTTATGTGCATAGTCATCGTCAGGGAACCATTCAGGGATTAGTGGGGAACGACCCATTATCTGAACAGCAAAATATCCTTAATAATGAGACAGAAGTAAAGACTGCAGCAGCTGTGGCATCCAGAAACCTGTTTTCACAGAATGGAACTGTGTAAAGTCTATGCTGGGTCCACTAAGTTCTACAGAGACTTAAGTGGTAAGGACTTTACTGAGTGGGAGAGATCTGGAGGGTCTTCTCTTGAATGGCTTTGGGGAGACAGGATACACAAGAGGAAGGAGAGCAGAAATACTCCTGTGAGGCAGAACGTTTAATGAACACCAAAGGATCAGCGCCTGTGGATAAGTTTGTACCAGAGTGTGAACTAGTGGAAGAGGAGAAGTAGTTTATCCAGCAACAAACAGTTTGCTGCCAACCTACAACTATGCAAGGAGTAAAAGGAACGGTGATCTTATTTGTCACCCCCACATACTTGAGCCAGGGCCTCAAGCTCAAAGCGAGGCCCATCACCAGTTAATTAAAAGGGCCGTTAGCCCATTCATCCAGCCAAATAGAGGGGTGAAGGACAAGTTGCCACAATTTTCCAAGATGCAGCGTATTGTATAGAAGAAAGTGGCGTTGGACTATGGATTTTAGTTTCCATATGTGCCTCCAGAGATCATGGATTAGGTGGAGGCTCTCAGAGAAGGCTGGTGTGAAGCAGAAATAAGGACATTTTTGCATGCGCCCAAGTCCCATCGTAACAAGGGAGCAAAATATTTTTTGGGAGGAGTTTTGCAGCTTTAAACGCAGTTGGTGCTGGGGCAGGTTCATAAACGTGGCAGACCTGACCAAATGAGGTCTGTTAACATTTTGGGCCCAAGCAACCAGATGATCCAGGTCCCCAACCCTGATTTTTCCACTTGTAGGCTAAAGGAAGGCTGGGTATTTAGACTTTGATTCTGTTTTTGTCCATATTACGGACCTTAATGGATACCAAGCTGTGCACATGGCCCACAGCTATGTGATGTATCATTTGTCCTGAGGACCCAAACTTCAAGTTCTTCAGGCCATGCTGTGTTTTTTCAGCAGAACTGCTGCTGTGTGTGGGAAGGGATCGCCCACAATTTTGTCCAGAGCACTGATGGAGGTTAGGAGTTTATGAAACAGCCTTCACCTCAGCTCAAGATTTTCTTGTAAGTGAAGACCCTTTTTGGTCTCTAACATAGAACTTGGGTCTTATATGGTTACCACATTCTTTGGTCAAAGGACCTTTATTGTTTGTTGAGGTTAATTAGTGTGTATAAGTCTAGGTAGTTAGGTTGCTTTTCTCTGTTCTTTTTCAATGACCTGGATGGACGACGAGTTGAGTTAAGATATATTTGCCAGCTAGGGACATTTTTCAATGAGATGATTTAGTGTTAGGATTAAGTCACATATTGCATGGACTTTCGGAAATGTAAGGTTTGGATGTGTTAGTATAGGGATAGAATGTTCTAGATATTTATTCTGCGGAGGGCTACCTTCAGGAGGTGGCGCTCCAAAACTAGGTCATATTAACTTGTTTCCTTTGCAGGCATCAGAGAAGACACTGCTTCGCCTGAAGTATTCTCCCTGCTTACAAAGTTATTACCTGTATGTAGTTAGTGTTGGGGTATTTAATAGATTAGTAGGACTGTACATATGTATATATGGTGTAAATTGTGTCTAAAGTTCTGACGCCATATGGCTATTTAATCAGGCCAGGCGCCAGTCTCCCTACATTGTAAATAAATGCTGTTTGTTTTTCTAAATTGTCTTTTTATTTAAAAGTAATTTTGCTGTATGTTGCATACAAAATCTTGTTACTTTGTTATTTATCCTAACCCCTTCCATGTTTGTTGTTTTTGCCACGGAATACTCTGCTCTTGGGCTCAAGAGCTTTTTGTTAGTCCCTTGAGGACAGGGCCTATTTTTTTTTAGAGGGGGGTGTGTAGTGCCCCATTAGGCTACTAGTGGTTAACTTTAGTTTTTGTAGTCAGGGAGAGCAACAATTGTTTGGGTAAGTCTGCTCTGGGCTCTGCTGGTGTGAGCTTGGTTATTTTACCCTGTATCTCAGGGACCTGGGACATAGTGGGTGGAAGAACACAGATCCCAGGCTGCATATTAATACTTCTCCAGTCAATCCCAGGTCAGGGTTGCGAGTGACCGTCAGGAGCCTGGGGGAGGTATAACTAGGCTGGAACCCAGAGAAGAGGTCTCTTGTTCCTGGGGGAATCCCTGAGAAATCTGCCTGCAACTGCAAGAATCTTTTATGGGGTCCCTGATACTGTTTCCTAAGAATCAAGGAAACAGACATTTGGAGTACAGAAACTGACTGATAGCAGGGCACAGTGAGCACCAGCTTTCTGGACTTAGAGACTTTCTTTGGCCTATTCTGGGAGATTTACTTTACTACCAGTATACTCAGAACTGCATTCCTGTTGAGGAGTCCCTGTTTAGTACCACTTTGTCTACACTTTAAAGGGGATCTAAATACTTTCCTTAGCACTCCTGGGAGAACATTGGCTACAACTCTGTACATTCAGGACTGCATTCTTGTTTTGCAACTACTGATTGTTGCTGTTCATCTATGCATTTCAAAGAGGTGCCTTCACCCTGAAGTCTTAGTACAGAGTTAATGTCCTCATTTTCAAGTCTGAAGTTACTGGAGTTTCTCTTGGCTCACCCTCAC